TCTTAGACAATATGAGCGCTCGTCGTGCTGTGAAAAACAGAAAGCTGCTTGAATGGTTGACAAACGCGTGGTCCAAAGGCGAGCCGCACTCAATTGGTCTTGCGGGACTACGCTGTACGACGACTGGTCGTGGCAATCAAATATCCGGTGATTTGGTACTATTGAAGGTTCCCTGAACTCCATGCTATTGGATATATGCAGATCGAATACTCTTTCTCCAAAATTTACTGATAACGTTTCGGGCATATGGGCTCCATGAAAAATCTCACAGGCGGGCGGACGCGTCCGCATGTTGGTGACGTCACAGCGGCGGAGAGAGAGTAAACAAGGGCTAGGGTTATTCCAGTTCTTAGTGTGAGAATAGTACCTGTACATTTCACTATCTTTTCCTGCTTATTGTACAAATTCGTATACTGTCAGAAACCCAGCAGGCAGCGGCCGGCCACTTTGCTCGTTCTTCGAGCCTGCCGTAGCTGTGACGTCACCAGCACCTGCTCGCGTCCGCGCCGCCAGTGAGCTTTTTTCTCTCCCCCTCCCCCTTCGGGCACATAACCTTCTTCAGACCAACTGAAAATCACACACAATACTTCAACATGAAGAAGAATGAGGAATGGAAGATACGTGAGTTTTCAATGTGTTGAGGAAAGGGGGTGATCTTCTTAAAGTCACGATGAATTTTTTCTCGCACGCAGCGTGTCATCATCATATTTCGATGAAGTCTCATCGCATTCTTCATTTCCTCCTTTTGTTGAGAGGTGGTGCACATTGATTAATTTTCAATGCTTCCCTTATCTTTCGCTCAATTATGAATTATGATTGTTGTAATTATGGTTGATATAACCATAATTCTGAGGTTACGCCAACATTTCTTGTGCGTGTCGGAGTGAACGGTGTTTTGAGAATAGACTTTCTGGGTAGTTCTGAGAACTACGCAAGGCTCTTATGTGCTCGTCCATTATAATTCAATTTGAAGAAGGGCTTGTGCCCAAAACGTTATCAGTAAAGTTTTGTGAAAAAAGAGTCGAGTTACCATGTTTTCCGCCTCCCTTAGTTAGTGAATAGAAAATGACAGTCTACTAGTCATGCAACGAGTGTAGATTTTATCAATAATTTTCATTTTCATTGTAAAGACATTTTCCTTTCAGGGACCACTGAGTCTTTGGAAGAAGTCAATTCAACCGATTGATACATATCGAGATATCTGTGTTAGATCCTGACTCGTTTCATTTCTTTCTAGTATTTATTTTAATCTGTGAAACCTTTCTTCTTGAGCGTGTTCAAGCTATTCTCAGGATTTCAGAACAAATTGTACCTATTATTATGGCATAAAATGCTTGTTGATGAGTTTGGAAACCGTTTAAGCTGAAATCGAAATAGGCAAGGCAAGACCAGGCGAGAATAATAGTTTTCTGTCAACGAAACGGCCACCGTCAGAGGCTGTAGTGCAGACCTCGCTGACCACCGGATACAAAGGGTACATAAGCAAGTGTTCACTTGTGTTGGAACGAGAAGAAGAACAAAAACCTCCTGAGCTTGATATGACCAAAAACAAATATTAGCGTATTCAACGGAATATTCAAACACGTTCTACCGTGGTGCACCCGATGCAGTAAATCATTGCAGCGCCGGTAAGAGTGATACAGCCGCCCACAGTTATCTAAAACAGATTGGCCTCTAGTGTTTCCATTCAAGTGGCTCTTATAACTTCTCGAAGTGTGCAAAGGAGTTTCAACATATAGCTACACCTTCGGAAATCTCATTCACTCCAGTGAAACTTGTTCGGAGTGAACCACGATTTAGACTGGTTTGAAGGAGATCATTGCATGATAGTAGCGATTAAGCTAGTCATTTTCGTCGCGCGTATGGTGTATGTGTCGCTGTCACGGCGAGGCAATCCTACGTATAAGCCATTGTATGCCTCCCTCTTATACCTGTTACAATGAACATCAGCTCGTCCCCTGTACGACAACAATTAATTGGCCACATTTTTGCGTCGCGTGAATTCGGTGCCAAGTGTGCCACCTTCTACATCTTGCTTGAAGGCAAGGTTCGCGATCAAATCGGTGTGTTATTCTGTTCGAAAATTAGACAGGAAGTGCGAAATGATAACATAGCAAACTTGCACACGCACAAGTCAGCCGCACAAGTCATACGTGCCAAAAACATACTGCTACAATGCGGTGTGTAGGTGAAAAGGCGCAGTCCAAAACCGGACTCGCTACCGATCGTCACTAGGGACAGGAGGCGGCGCCGCCGTCAAATAAAATGTACCGCCGCGGCAATGCACACACTGTGCTATACCTTACGCGCAACACGTTTGAAAAATGGAGATAGAGGTTTGGAACGTTTCAAAAACCATGTTCAATATGATTTATGACAGAAGAGGAGTACACCATTGGCATTCTGGCCTTGACACAAGTCTGCCAGGTAGTTTGTGAATGTTTTAAATTG